ATAGATGGACACAATATCTTTATTTTGTTTATTTTTACATGGTGCTGAGGATCGAACCCAACACCTCATTTGTGTGAGGCAAGTGCTCTGCCACTAAGCCACAACCTCAGTCCCTGTAAATAATTTTTGAGTATCTATTTTAATATAATTTATTTCATTGTGTTCCTGTAATTTAATGTTTTTGTAGTGCTGCAGATCAAACCCAGAGCCTCATGCATGTCAGGGCAGTTTTCTACCCTTAAGCTACACTCCATCCTATAATTTAATTTTTTTTTTTTGGTACTGGGGATTGAACCCATGGGAATTTTGTCACTCTGCTACATCCCCAACCCTTTTTATTTTTAGTTTATTTTAAGACCAGGCCTTCCTAAGTTGCTTAGGACCTTGCAAACTTGCTGAGGCTGACCTCAAACTTGTAATCCTCCTGCCTCAACCTTGGTAATAGTTGGGATTACAGTTGTATGTCACCACACCTGGCCCATAATTTATTTTATTTTATTTTATTTATTTACTTTTTTGGGATTGAACCCAGGGATGCTTAACCCTGAGCCACATCCCAGCCCTTTTTTATTTTTTTTTCTTTTGAAATGGGGTCTTGCTAAGTTGCTCACAGCCTTGCTAAATTGCTAAGGCTGGCTTTGAATTAATGGTCCTCCTGCCTCAGCCTCCCAAGTCATTTGATTATAGCAGTGTGCCAATGTACCTGGCCCATAATTTAATTTTTAATGACTGTATTTAATAACCTGCTTATAGAATTTCTGAAAATTTAGTACAAGTTGGTAAGGACCATCTCCAACACACCACTGAAATAATACCTGAATGAGGAGATCATTTTTTGCAATGAGTAGGGTAGTTTAAAAGATAGATTTGGTCTATTGAGATATGTACACATGTAGTCTTTAATGAATGAAATTTTGAAAGGGGAAAATAAGGTAAAATGAAAGTTCAAAAGATACTAAGCAAATTATTAACTTGAAATTATTTATTGAATTTCTAATATATTCAATACACTATAATCAGCCCTGGTAATATAAAGGCAAATACCTTTGGAGAATGTATACTCTAGTTGCTAGGTTAGACATGCAAGCACAGCAAATACTGCAAGGACTATATTATGATGAAATACAGATACATTCCAATAGGAATAGAAAAAGAAAGGACAGACTGAACATTTTTTCACAAGGAAAACCAGTTTTTTTTTTTTTTTTGGAAAGGTGTTATTTGAGTTGGAACTTAATGGATGAGGAGTACATTAGTTGAAAATGAAGAGAATTCCAAGAAAAGTGTAATCCCAGTTAATTAGCCCAAGGTATAAACACAGTGACATCATTTTTATTTTCTTAATGACTATTTGTTATCATTCCTTATGTATTTGCTCCTATTGTGTGGACATACACCATCTTTACTGAGGCCCCACCTTGCCCCATGAATTTCTACCAAATCCTGGTTCAGCCTAAGAGAAAGGGATGACTGTCCTTCATTCCTTGTTACAAACACGTGGTGATATGCACTTGGGCTCCAAGGTCACAGCTCTCAAGCATATTTAATTGGTCACCATTTCCATGATAAACAGTACTGGATGGACCTAGATTTTCTCAGCAACATTTAGACCCTGGCATATAATCTCAGATATGAACTTGACTTCACCAACCTTCTCTAAGGACTGATTCCACTGGGATTCTAGTGTGTTGCTTGCTAACAAAGCTATGCACAAGAAGGAGAGTGGTGCCTTTTGCTCAGTAACACAAATTGGTACAATTAAGAGAAACCACTGAAAAATCTCTTCACAAAACAGCATTGCTCAAATTGACTTTCTATCTTGCCTATATTGAGAAGCAGCTGGCAGCTCCCCCAAATCAATCAATTCCTCCCCCCTCTCTCATAGCAAACATACACAAATATATATATATATATATATATATATATATATATATATATATATATATAATCTATTAGTCTCTACTTTGATATGCTCCCTATTATCACACTGATAACATCATAATGCTCTGCAGTTATTGTCACCACCTATGCTTTATCCTTTTCTAAATTATATAGAAATAATCTGATCTTTGCAGTGACTATTTCTTGTGTGATCCTGGAGCATTGTAACATTCTTAATCCTTCTCAATTCTCTCTGATCTAATCCTAAATTTGAAAATACAGTAAGAGTAATTCCCTTAGAATATAGATGATTCCCTTAGAAGATAAATGTGATAATGTCTGTGCTCTATTTGAAACCCTTCCCCAGCTTTCCACTGCTCTTAAATGAAAGCCTCAACTCTTCACCATGTCCTACATAGAAGAACAGGGCTGCTTATGCTCTAGCCTCATAATGCTCTGCTCTCTCCTCATCCTCAGGATTTGCTCTACTCCAGCCTCCCATGTATATTTCTGCTGCAGCCACTCTGAGCTCATTTTATTTCCCCTATATTTCCCTGAGTTATTCTTACCAATGCTCTTTCTTCTTTGCCTGCAGTGCTTATCTGTTTTTTCCTTCCATTCTTGTCTATTATTTCCATGAATTGTACCCTCTGATCCACAAGAAGAAGCCCAACCCAAGTCTGAGTGGAGTTCTTCTAGGTGCTTTTATGGCACTGCAGATATACTCAATACTGGAGCTCAAAGCAAAGTGGGTATTCAAAGACCCCACATGAGCTTTGATGACTAACAAAGCACAACATTATCCTCATGAGTGCAGGAGCCGTTTTCTAGGTCTGCCATAACAAGGCCTGCAAGTTAAAGAAATGGAAAGTAGTTAAGCTGAGAAAGAAGGGTAATGTGAGAGAATAATTCAAGTCCCAATGAGTGCTTCAAGTTGCCTCTCTGTTCAGAAATGTCAGGGTGAATTTCTAATAGTGTGATCAATATTTATAAGTCCCCATATTTAGCAAAATTGTATTGTAAAATTAGTCAATCTCTAGAGATTTCTATTTATGATTTCCAAGCATTAAGTCCCACCTCAAAACTTGAACTTGATCTCTTAAATCACAGATAAATGAATTATTTATATATACATTTTTATTTTTTATTTTTTTGGTATAGGGGATTGAACTCAGAGGCACTCAACCAAGCTTTTTTTTTTCTTTTTTTGTATTTTATATAGAGACAGGGTTTCACTGAGTTGCTTAGTGCCTCACTTTTGCTGAGGCTGGCTTTGAATTCACAATCCTCTTGCCTCAGCCTCCTGAGCCCCTGGGATTAAGGTGTGAAGCACCATGCCCAGTATGTACCTTTTTAAACCCCTGCAATATATCATGATTCTGATTTGAAACTTGCTGTTGAATTTATGACTACTTGACAGTATAACAGGTAATTCAGTTACATAAAAAGAACTAATGTTCTCATGAAAACATAAGATATTTGATTTAAGAGTATTTTATAATTTTGGTCAATACTTTCCATAGAAATTTGTAGTTGACTTCCAGTCAGTAAGATTGATATTCATTTATCCATTTTGTTGTGTAAATATCCTCCAAAAGAGAGAGGAATTCCATATTAAAATATTTCAAGAATATTTACGTACAATAACTAATAATGAAAGATCCTTCTAGAAGCTCCATTTTGCCTCTTAAAAGTTGCTAGATAATTTCTGGACTTGCCTTATGTGGTCATCAGTGATAACTATTATATATAGAATCAAAGTCAGCGAGGAAACTCTTGGAGAACATGTGGACATGAACAAAGATAAAAGCAGAAGGATTATAATTTGCCATCTTAAAATATTATAAGAGCAAGTTTTTAAATAACTCCTCTTATCCAACACACATAATTAAGAGAACAAGACTAATTTTAACTAAAAAAATGTGTTTTTTTGTAGAAGTAAATTAGAAAATACCCATGCCTGCTTTCTAAGCAAGTATATCTCAATGAATTTTGCCTTTCTCTGTGTTCATGTTGTAGAAATGGTCATAAGCACAATTTTGAAAGATGTTAAAGATGTTCACTAATAATATAACTCAGAGCATACTTCTGAGATTTCCAGTACTGAGGAATTTCCTTCTTTGCACTTTAAAATCATAGAGTTATCAGGACCCTCTAGTAATAATATATGGCTACAACTAATTGAAAAAGTTTTCTCAAGATTTCCCTTTCCCCATTGCAACTGGAGTAGGCTCTTACTTCACCCCATATCACCTCCCAATTTCTGACTCCATTTCATAAAACTATTGTGTGTGAGAATATTTTAGTTTTGTAGTGTTGGCTGAGGTTTGGGTAAACCAGGTATTTACAGAATGGCACAAACCATTCTGCAGGCATTAACTTCACTTCCACCTTTTAGTGTGGGACTTCCACTTACCTTATTAAGTAGTCAACTAACCTGTGTTCACCATTATAATAGTCCTTCCTGAGCATCATAGTGAAATTCACAGTAGTATTGTTGATTTTATCTCTAATGAAAATCCCAAACATTTACTAACATGAATTGTTTGTTTTTAAATACATGTTTCTATCTAGAGATGTATTAAAATGATATTCTTTGTAAGAAAAAATTCTTAACAGCATTTTCTTGGTTTCCCAGATTTATAGTTTATTTTCTTTTTCAGCTAAACAGTGTGCTCGCTTTCCATTTCCTGCATTCAAGACTAAGAAACATTTCCTACCTGCCTTATAGAATGTTGTAGTTATGAATGTTATGTACCCTCTGATATCATGCCTCAAGAAGGGCACATTACCTCTGTGGTATCCTTCCCAATAATTCATAACCTCAATCTAATCATGAGAAAACATCAGGTAAACTTAATTGGAAGAACATTCCATAGAATAACTGACTGGTCTTCTTCTAAATCTTATAAGTAACTCTCATTCCATTAAATAAGCAATTCTGTAAAAAAGCACACATTCTATAAATTTAACAAAGATGGGAAAATACCTGAAAAAATATTCTTTTAGAAAGATGTTTCATTAAATCAACAAAGTGTTCAAAATGTTACCTTCCAGTTTGCCTAAAATAAGTGTGTACAAATAGTTTTATGACACATTTCCATCACTTCTCTCCACAGGTGACTCGGCTAATCTAACCTGCAGAGCTTTCTTTGGGTACAGTGGAGATGTCAGTCCTTTAATTTATTGGATGAAAGGAGAGAAGTTTATTGAAGATCTTGATGAAAATCGAGTTTGGGAAAGTGACATTAGGTAAAATAATTTTTTTCTTTTAACTTGTACATTCATTCAAGTTATCATTTGCTCTGTGAATGAATAAAAAGTTAACTACTCACTCCCCAAAAGTGATTTTTTTGTTTCCTATTATCATAATTAAAATACTATAATATTTGAGGACAAAGAAACAAAGTTTTATAAAGAAACTGATTATGGAATTGTAAAATATGAATTCCATTTGCAAAGAATGTAAAAGAACTTTAAAAGATGTGCTTCACTAAAGAATATACTTAGTATGAGACTAAAATACTATTAAATATAGAAAATATAGAAGCCCATTCTATCTTTGGAAAAAATCAGTGAGCCTTTTGTTTGTAAAAGCTTTTTTTTTTTAATTATTGAGAGGAAACATGAACAAGACACAAGGACTCAAACAAAATATCCATCATTTCCTTTTATGTTTTTATATATTTAAGATACAAAGTAGAATATAAAACACTTGATGGAGTGACAAAGGATTTATAAAACATTTTAATAATCTTTCTCAGTCTTTCAGGTCTAAATATTTATTTAATAGAAATGATATGAAGAGAACCAACCAATTAAAATACCATCTATTTTGAAGGTGTTAATGCTTTAGCCTCTTTATTTTTTCAATGTACCTACGTATTTATTAACTTACTTTTGAGTATAAAGTCATTCAATGATGACTAAACTTATGCTTAGGCATAAGTACTTATTTTTAATCATGACATAAATAAGAAGATACTCATAATCATAACTAAATCAAAATAATAATGATCCTTCTCCCATCTAAAGTTTTCATATTCTAATATATATATGATGTATTTAAACCATGGTTCCCTTTTTAAATGTTAAGACTTTTAAAACCTTATCCAATGTAGAAGAGAAAATGTTTTTCAGTAAAAAATAAAAACATACAAGCTGTCATATAAGATTACTTCTATTGGAATCTTATTTTTGGCATCCATTATACAAGAATATCTCAGTCTGGAATGCTCTAAGTGGATTCTGGAAAGCCTGGATGGGCAATTGTCCAATGTGTACTAAAAATGTCCCTCTGCCATTCTTCATACATAAAACTACCCTACTATACTCTTTTCTCTGACCCACACTCTTGGAAATGCTACAATTAAAGAGGGACCATATCCTTCTAGCTTTTATTCTCTTTAGTTTTGTGTGTGTCTGGGGAAGGTTCTAGAAAGGTATTTTTCTTTACTTCTGCATTAAGAAGTGCTGCACAGAGATGAATTATCAAACAGATAGGAGGGTGAGGGGAAACATTGAGAGCAGGCAAATGGATCTCTAGTTTGAAGAAGTTTTCCATTTACTCTTAGAGATTGCTAATTATCTAACAGTGAGGTTAGTTAGCATTTATCAGTCATTTAAAATGTCAGAGTTAAATGCTTATCAGAACTTTTAATCTACAGTTTTGTAAATTCATATTTTTTTTAAAATAGGCAACTGGTTGTATTATTCATGGAAGTCAGGCTGAAGGTTTCAAATGAAACGTCAAAATAGCTTAGAAATTTTCTTTTCTTTCTTTATAAAAATTGGCCTGATATATAATTAGGGCTCCAACCTAAGACTTTAAAATTTCTTATCTCCCTTCATATCATATTTCTTCTTAAAGGAAAGGCAATTTATAAACTTTTCTTCAAGGTCTCTTTCACCTATTTATTATGACACTATGATTGTCCTGCTAAGAGAGATAATTAACTGCAACTTCATTAGCATCTACAAAGACAAGCTTCCTCATTAGAAGTAAAGAAAAAAAGGGCATGATATAATTTAATTAGCCTAGCATCAATCCAGAGCCACATTTGAAGCACAGATTCTGTAGATAATTTCATATTAGATTCAGATTCATCTACCTTTCTTTCTTTTTTATGTATGTGTATGTGTATGTTTGTGTGGGATTTTTTGTTTCGTTTTGCTTTATGTTTTAGAATTCTTAAGGAGCATCTTGGAGAACAAGAAGTTTCTATCTCATTAATTGTGGACTCTGTGGAAGAGGGTGACTTGGGAAATTACTCTTGTTATGTTGAAAATGGAAATGGACGTCGCCATGCCAGCGTCCTCCTTCATAAACGGGGTAAGTGCAATCTTCTACACTTGAGTGATAAACTGAGCATACAGTGGAGGCAAATAATTGGAACCACAAAAAAATAAATTTTATTTTTATACAGAAACTTATACAAAATAAAACAATAAATTAGTGTTATGATCATCAAGAAAGACAGTACCAAGGATGAGTGAATTAGCTCCAGTTCTAGAGTCAAATTTGGAATCCTTGCTCTGATTTAATACTGTATAATATTGAGCAAGAGGGCTGGGGTTATGGCTCAGTGAAAGAACACTCTCCTAGCACGTGCAAGGTGCTGGGTTCTATCCTCAGCACCACATAAAAATAAATAAATAAAATAAAGGTATTAAAAAATATATTCAGCAAGATATTTAACTTCCCCTGCTATCCGTTTCTTGATATATAGAATGATACGATATAAAGATAAAAGATATCAACTTGAAGGAGTTGACATAGCATCTATATGCAGAAAATATTTATTTAAATGGTACTTATTATCAAAAATAGGCATTAGGTTATTAAAAATAAGCTAAATGTTTTTAGATCAAAGATTGTGTACATTTCTGGAAAGTTATCCCTCTAGTGAAAGAACCATGTGTGATTAATTTCCCAGTGCAGTTCTTCTTGATAGTTTTCTACATTGTGTAACTTTTATATATGTAATGTTCTCCCATAATTAACAATAATTTATTATAAGTAATATAGGGCATGGTTGAGTGTAGCATCTGCCATAGTAACTGACTTCACAGCAGCCCCATCACCTTATACAAAGGGTTAAATATGTGTGTGTGTGTGTGTGTATGTGTGTGTGTACATTGAATTGTTTTAAATTAGAGATGATTGTAATATGTGAGGCATGCCTTGACTCAGTAACATTTTGCATGCACATTACATAAGAAAAATATATTTTTCCACATTATGCTAAGTAAAACTTTCTAGTCTTTGGGATAAGTACACTTGATGTTCTCTTACTCAGCAAATTTATAATGATTTTAATTTCAAAGCACATGTTTAATCCTAGACTATTTGAGGTTTGGAAAGAAAGAGAACATGAAGACTTTCCCCTACTTTATTGGGTGATAGATTCCTTTGAATAATATTACTGAAAGCTATTAAAATAGACACCTCTGTTGTCAAGGTGACTACAATATTAAAATAGTCTATTCTTTTGGGATGTGAGACAAGGAGAAATGTAAGTAGCATCTAGCAATATGATTCTTTCTGTAGCTTAATATGCAGCTAATCAGTAAAGGAATCTGAGTAGAAATATCATAGAAATACAAGGACAGAAATAGTTTTTCAGGATTAGAAGCAACTTAAATGTCATGGAACTTACCTACTCATCCTTCCATAACATCTTCCCAAGTGGCCCATCAGCTTTTATTGGATTATATTTCCTCACAAGGAAACCCATTTTATCATTGGGGGTGGGGGATGCTGTTCAAAGGCATCCCTATTTCACCATTTATTCAATGGCTCTAGTTCTATGCTTTTAAATATTCTTTCCCAATATAGCCCTTCAAATGTTGGATGACAGTCACCATAAACCTGCTGGACCTTCATTTCTTTATTCGTATGCATGAAACCTTTCCAGTATTCTTTTTTTTTTTGGGGGGGGGATGGTTGTACTGGGGATTGATCTCAGAGGCACTCGACTACTGAGCCACATCCCCAGCCTTATTTTGTATTTAGAGACAGGGTCTCACTGAGTTGCTTAGGGCCTCACTTTTGCTGAGGCTGGCTTTCAGGGGTGGGGGGATGATGGCCAGCATCTTTTGGGGGCTTCTTCTTACCCACGGGAGTCCAAGCTACCCTAAAACTTACAATCTCAGATAATTAGTAACAAAGCACAAATAGTCAGAATATATTTACAGAATGTGAAGCCCCTGATAGATCTAGTGCACATGGGTTCGGAAACTAGACAAAGGGAAAATGGTTCCAGTAGTTTATTTAAAGGGGTACATCAAAGGCAGAGATAAGGTTTCTAGGGCAGAGGCTTGATTCATGATGTCTTGCAGTCAGAAGGTTGATTGACATCTTAGGTACTATGTGGGCCATGGCAGAACAGGAAAGAGATTCACATTGTCCCTGGGCAATTGACCAAATGAAATGTCCACTGGCCATTCCCAGACACCAGATGTCTCTATCTATGAAGCTTCCATGCACAGTCACCCACATGGAACCCATGAACAGATCCTGACAGCTGGCTTTGAATTCTTAATCCTCCTGTCTCAGTCTCCTGAGCCACTGGGATTACAGGCTTGCACCACCATGCCCGGCTCCAACATTCTTATCACTCTCTTGCATATATTCTAATTGAAGAATTTGAATTATTCCTTATGAACGGAAGTAGTAGAGAGATGTTATATTAAATATATAAAAATCTGCTTTTTTGGACAACATGTATTTCTCTAGAGGGCAAGATAGGGGTAACAGTTAAATAGCAATCAATCACAAGGAGAGGGGAAGGAAAACAAATAGTATCTAAGGATAAAGCTATTTAAGCTCTGATTTTGCAGACAGGCACAGAGCCAGGAAGGGTCAAAACCTCCCAGGATATTTTACCAGATTTAGCCTGAGATTAATTTGCCCAAAGCTACAAAAGCTTCTAGTTATAGAAGAACAAACAAATGAGGAATCAAGGAAATTATCTGGAAAAAACTTTCCAGCAAAGTCTGATTCCTTAATCATGGAAAAGAAAATTGTGGCCAAATTTTCAGTTTTAAATATTTAAGTCTCACATGTTTTTTTTTTATTTTTTTTTAATTTGTGTGTGTATCAAGAGCATTTTGTTCTGATTAAAATGAACACATTAAGCCAGGCATGATGGTGCATACCTGTAATCCCAGTGGCTCAGGAGGCTGAGGCAGGAGGATTACAAATTCAAAGCTAGCCTCAAAAACTTAGTGAGGCTCTAAGCAATTTAGTGAGACCCTGTCTCAAAATAAAACATAAAAAGGGCTGGGGATGTGGCTCAGTGGTTAAACACCTCTGGGTTCAATCCCTGGTACTGAAAAATTAAATTAAAGCATTAAGAAGTCAAAAAGAGCTGGCACAATGGGAGAGGTCTATAATCCCAGTGACCCAAGAAGCTGAGAGAGGAGGATCCCAAGTTCAAGTTTAGCCTCAGCAATTTTTTTGTTTATTTTTTATTGGTTGTTCAAAACATTACAAAGCTCTTGACATATCATATTTCATACAGTTGATTCAAATGGGTTATTAACTCCCATTTTTACCCCATATACAGATTGCAGAATCACATCAGTTACACATCCATGTTTTTACATATTGCCATACTAGTGACTGTTGTATTCTACTACCTTTCCAATCTTCTACTATCCCCCCTCCCCTCCCCTCCCATTTTCTCTCTCTACCCCATCTACTGTAATTCATTTCTCCCCCTTGTTTTTTTCCCTTTCCCCTCACWTCCTCTTATATGTAATTTTGTATAACAATGAGGGTCTCCTTCCATTTCCATGCAATTTCCCTTCTCTCTCCCTTTCCCTCCCACCTCTCGTCCCTGTTTAATGTTAATCTTCTTCTCATGCTCTTCCTCCCTGCTCTGTTCTTAGTTGCTCTCCTTATATCAAAGAAGACATTTGGCATTTGTTTTTTAGGGATTGGCTAGCTTCACTTAGCATAATCTGCTCTAATGCCATCCATTTCCCTGCAAATGCCATGATTTTGTCATTTTTTAGTGCAGAGTAATACTCCATTGTGTATAAATGCCACATTTTTTTATCCATTCATCTATTGAAGGGCATCTAGGTTGGTTCCACAGTCTAGCTATTGTGAATTGTGCTGCTATGAACATCGATGTAGCTGTATCCCTATAGTGCGCTCTTTTAAGGACTTCAGGGAATAGTCCGAGAAGGGCAATAGCTGGGTCAAATGGTGGTTCCATTCCCAGCTTTCCCAGGAATCTCCATACTGCTTTCCAAATTGGCCGCACCAATTTGCAGTCCCACCAGCAATGCACAAGTGTACCCTTTTCCCCACATCCTCGCCAGCACTTGTTGTTGTTTGACTTCATAGTGGCTGCCAGTCTTACTGGAGTGAGATGGTATCTTAGGGTGGTTTTGATTTGCATTTCTCTGACTGCTAGAGATGGTGAGCATTTTTTCATGTACTTATTGATTGATTGTATGTCCTCCTCTGAGAAGTGTCTGTTCAGGTCCTTGGCCCATTTGTTGAGTGGGTTATTTGTTCCTTATTGTCTAATTTTTTGAGTTCTTTGTATACTCTGGATATTAGGGCTCTATCTGAAGTGTGAGGAGTAAAGATTTGTTCCCAGGATGTAGGCTCCCTGTTTACCTCTCTTATTGTTTCTCTTGCTGAGAAAAACCTAGCCTCAGCAATTTAATGAAACCCTGTCTCAAAATAAAAAATAAAATGGGCTGAGGATGTGACTCTGTGGTAAAGTTACCCTGGGTTCAATCCCCAGGACCATTTTTTTTAAATGACAGAAAATACTTCAAAGTTATATACTGTAAAAGTCCCTCTTAAAGTCAGTGGGTGCTTTCCTTTTAAGGGAGCTGGAGTTAATGACTTATCAATTTGCAAAGGCAGTAATAGATGTAAACTCAGGCTCTTGAAGGGCTCATTATCATGTAGAATAATCCCACCAGTCAACATATGACATCATTGCAACTTTATCACCCCTGCCTGGTTCAAAAGGGCCAGACTCAGCATATGTGAGCCCATAGGTCTGGATCTTTGATCAGAGGGTCCCTAAGAAAGTAAAATGTCTTCATGCTAGCAATCATCTAATTATCAGATGAGTCGCAATATAACTTAGAGAACAAAGGGTCACAAAAACTACTGCAAGCTGTCACTATTAATCTTGTGTTTTTGTCATTGACTCCCCAATTTCCTAATTTATAGTCTTCCTTTTGAAAAACTCCCTGAAAAATATATTACAACATTTGTTTGACACAGATCTTGTACACAATAAATGGCCATCTGTTCTGGCAGGTGAACTTTAGCAGGGCATACCTTTGCTAAAGTTA